CATCTCCTGATGGTGGGAGGAGGGCCAGCACCGACTCCCTGGAGAGTGCAGGACTCCGGTCGCCTAGTCGAACACCAGGGCATCAAACCCAGGGGGCACTGTGCAAAGAACGCGGGTTGGACCCCAAGTCTGCAATTTCTCAGCTGAGTGCCTGCCCATGGACAACTTCGGCACTCCAGGCGGGACCGTTTTGAGCAACAAACAAGGTGATGAGCAAGAAAGTGCTTCTAGCTCCTCGTCACCCTTCCCCCCAATTTCTCAGAACCGTGCTTCCCTGGCCAGAGCCCTGGTATGCATCCCAACCACTAAGCCCATGATTACAACAGCTTCCTGCTTCCCCGCTTTCAACTTCTGTGCGACATTGTCCTACAAACAGCGTAATTAATAAGCTTCTTCTCCCAGCCCTACTCAAGCTTTAATATTTACCACATTATTTACCCCAAAGCTCTCAAAACAGGCACTTCTGCTTTCCCTGAATCAATAAAGTAGCTAAACAAGAAGTATTGATAATTGTCAGGTTGTTAGAGAGGGGTGTATGTGTGAGAGTGTGTGAGTGTGTGAGTGTGTGTGTGTGTGTGTGTGTGTGTGTGTGTGTGTGCATATGACATTTAAAGTGAGGTTTTGTGGAAGTTTTTTGAAGAGAATTTGAAAGAAGGCTTTGATCTCCCTTGCCTCTCTCCAGACTATCATAAATTAGTAGTATTTATTTTACTGAAACTGCTTCTGAGGGGGGAAAAAATCAATAAGACCTAGGCCACTTGAGTACATATAAACACTAATTAGAATTCTTCACAAACAGGTACTCTTACATCCAAAGTATGCAGCCATAAAATGTTTTGCATTCTTAAGACTAGAAATATTTTCAAATAAAAATAAGGATATATGTGGAATATAAACCTTTTGGCAACTGGGCTCTGGGCTGCTTCATATCAATTCTCTGTCCTGTGCTTACATGTGTGTTTTGTGTGCGTGTATGTGTGTACATGTGTGTGCATGTGTGCACTATGTGTGTGCATGCCTCCAAGATGGGAGACATGGGCAGGCAACCAGAAGATGAAGGGAGACAAGCTTTGCAGGAGCTCTTGTACCATTAGCATGCTGCCTCAGCGCTGTGACTCCGGCTGTGCCTACATCCCCTACAACTAGCTTCTGCCCCACAGCCCCTCCTCACAGCCACAGCTCCTCTTCCCAGGCTTGGAAACAGTTCCCTTCCCGTGCCCTCTCAGGAGTGGTAACACTACCCTAAACTGTGTTCCCTGGATGCTAAAACATTCCTGTGAGTTCCCTTAACCATGACCATCCTTCTTTAAACACCTGCTTTGTTAAATTATGTTCAGAGCCTCCTCTGTGTGTGCTCCGACTTGACTGAGTCTCTCCTTACCCAACCTCAGGCCACACACTCTCCAGCTCACTGCCATTCAAGGTCAAGAAAGCCAAGTGCCCTCACAGACAGACACCTCACCTGTGCAGCCCCAGCTCTCACTCATCATTCCCAATGTGGCCTAAGATATCCATCTAATGGCCCAACCCATTCATTTAAAATAGACTTTTTAGTTCAGCAGCTCTAAGCTTTCTTAGATTTATTCAGCCCTGTGCTACCACATACTAGCCTGAAGGAAATTATGTCAACTTTTTCCTTTGCAACCTGGCAGGCACCAGTGTTCTGTGTGTAATAAATAAATACCACACAAAAAAGCTTAAAAATAATTCAAATATTTCCTTGGCTTAAGTGAAATTCTTTCTTTCTTTCCAAGATAGAGATCAAGCACCAGTGGTTCAAAGAACCTGCCTTCTGGAATCATGTCACCTTGCGACCACTGTGTGAGTGTTAAAGACCTCTCAACCCTTCCAGCTACAGGATGGGCCGAACAGCAAAACCAATCATGTCAATGTGCACAAGACGACAGCCCAAAAGGGGCGATCAAAGTTCTTTTAACACTGGGAAGGAGAAAGAGAGAGGTAAGAAAAAAATCCCCAGGTAAGAGAAAAAATAAATATTCCTTGTTTTCTCTCCTTTGAACTACATTTCATATCCATCAGCAGATGACTTATTATGGGTTTCCTAACAGTGACCAAGAACTACAAAGGAATCTCCTCAGCCTGTTGCTTATTTGCCTTAGTACTAAAATGGAAAAGTAAACAAACTAACACTCCACCATCTTTGTTGTCTAATGCAAGGCTAATAACTGGCTCTTAGCTACTCTAAACAAAGTTGCAATCACTCATTATGCAATACATTCTCTAACTAATTTAAAATGTTTGGCTCACTAAAGACTGTAAAACAGATGTCATATTAAAATCCCTAATTATGAATGATAATTCCTTGATAAGACTCCTCAACCATGCCAACAATTAATTTACTAAGATGAATTTTAAATATGAATTCAAATTTTGACAAAAAATTAAAAGTAAATGAGGTTGTCTCAGCAAGTCCTCCATTAACATGTCCCCATTCACCCGAAAAAGAAAAAGAAAAAAGAGAGAAAAATATGCACATTTAAAAAAACTATCAGATGTTTCTGGTTGCAAATAAAATAAGACCCAATCAGAAGTGCCCGCAATAATTCAAACATGCATTAGGTCTTTGAGTAAGAAGTCCAGAGATAGAGGAACCCAGGATTGGATCACAAACTCAAACAGTTCAGATTCTCACAGATCCTCAGCAGTGCGAAATGACTGCCAGAGCTCCGGACAGTGCACCGTCACACGGCAGCAACCTATGCACTTCCCGCATGGAAGGGAAGAACGGGAGGAGATGACTTCAGTTGTAAGCCAGTTTCTTGTCAGGAATGAAAACCTTACCTACCTCTCAGTGGGCAGAACAGACTCAAACACTGACCAGAGAGTGAAGTGCCATCCCTGACTTACATAAAGATATTCCCTGTGACTGGGCCCAAAAAAATGTTAGCAACAAACAAGATAAATAAGCTTTTGTACAGGTAAGCAGCAAATGTAGCTTTCAGAGACTATTTGAGTACAAGTAGTTTAAGCCAAATATTCGCTTCAAATTCAGAAGGGGAAAAAATCAAGTTTGGAAAGGCTTGATTTTTTAAACTCATGCCCTACAGCCGTGGTTGGCAAACTGTGGCTCTAGAGCCACATGCAGCTCTTTGGCTCCTTGAGTGTGGCTCTTCCACAAAATACCATGGTCTGGGCGGGTCTATTTTTAAGAAGTGGCATTAGAAGAAGTTTAAATTTAAAAAATTTGGCTCTCCAAAGAAATTTCAATAGTTATACTGTTGATATTTGGTTCTGTTGACTAATGAGTTTGCCAACCACTGCCCTACGGGAACCAAGCAGGAGCTGTGATGAAGAAGGCACACTGGGTGGGAACTGTGGAGCTCTGAAAAGGGTGTGTGTGGCCTCCAGTTCTTGATCTTATTTTCAAATATTAGCAAACTACAGCAAAACTTAAAAATACATAGACGTTCTTTTTCTAACCTTCACAAAAATATAGATAAGGCTAGCTTCCTTCACATGACAGAAATTAGGACCTGAACTGCTTACCATGTACCAGGTATTGTTTACAGTGCCTTAGACATCTCATTTCACTCTTTAAAATTAAATCCTATGCCTTAGTACCATCATTGCCCTTACTCCGACGACAGAAGGAACTGAGCCTTAGAAATGAATGCCATTTCCAACAACCACATAACTACTATGGTGGTGAAGCGGGGACATTGTACACAAGACTCCAAATGACTTGCTGGGACCTAGGGGTCAGAGAGGCTGGACACAGCTGATGAAATGGGTGCTCTCGCCCTGATTCCTACAGTCGCTTAGGAGAGAACAAACACAGCTTGGAGGCCAGCTATTTCCTTAAAAAGCAACCATGTATACCTGATTTTTCTCAGCCTTCTTTGCCTGATTTCTATACCACACAGAAAATACTTTTTTAAAACGCACAAAACAGCACTAACACTCAGGGCTTGAACATTTCTGTGGAGTGAGAATTAATTAGTAACGTGATTATAAGATGCTTCAAAATTCATCAGATCTTAAAAAAGCCTCCCAACTCCAAAGAATGATTTTGTCCTACATGGCACCGTGGACTTGTGAGTATAGGGAGAGAAAGAGTATGGGCGCACCAGTGTAAATACACCATTTACCTACCTCTATGTAAAAGACCTATGAGCAGCAGGTATCTGATATAAAAATTTTTAAAAAGCCTCTCCTGGAGTTTTTATAATATGTAATCTATAGGCTCTCTGCTCTTACTGTTCCACTCCATCCTAATCCAGAAATTTAAAATCATTATTAACCTACTTTTCAACAACCTTTTCTGCTATTAGTTGAATGTCTCTCTCTTTTCCACTGTGAGCTCCTGTCATCTACTTATGGATCTCTGTACTTGGTGAAAAACAACAAACATTTGTTGACTGAATAACAAACATGATAAAAGTTCTGTTTTCCTATTACTTTCTACAGTGACACAGTCCACTCATATAAGGCATTCTGAGATATAAAGCACACTGATATGAATGAGCTCTTCAAAAAATTTCTCTTCCATAGTTCTGTTCAGCTTTAACAGGAGAGTTTCATAATAAACAATTAAAAGATCAATTTGTTATTAGCATTCATCTTCCACGTAGCATACAAAATAATGTTAGATCCAATGATACTTTTCCTTCCATATTCCAATTGCTACATTTACCTTTACTCATCATTCAGTGTTAGATTTTTATATATAAAAGCCTAAGCAACCCACCAGTCACAATGATGCACACTGACCACTAGGGGCATATGTTCAATGCAAAAGCTGTCCCCTTGTGGTCAGTGCACACACAGCCAACCTCCAGCAGCTCCTACCTCAGCCAGCCAACCTCCTGTGGCCCCAATAAGCCCGATCACTGGCCAGGCTGAGGGACCCCACCCGTGAACGAATTCGTGCACTAGGCCTCTAGTTATTAAATACTGGGGGGAAATCTACACTTTTCCCATCAAGAAAAAAACAACAACAACAAATAGCCCCATATTAGGTATTTAGTTCCATGTTGTACCAGCATTCATATCTTTAAACTTCTGCTTTAGTTCAGAAGGAGTAAGACGATACTGATCAAGACCATCATTCCAATAAATTCGGTCCAAGACTTGAAGATCTCCTCCAATGAGCCAATCTCCTTGTTCCATAACCATCTAATGGGAAGAAAGAGAAAATAATTGTTTTAAATAGAAACCAAGAGGAAAATAAGAACATTGTTCTCATACAAGCTATAAACTTTTACTTTCATCTCAAGGTCAATGGTAAGTACATTTAGCATAACAACTGAATTGGGATTGAAAATGCTACAGAATTAGAGTATCCTATATAATAAAATCCTAATATGCATATTGTTCAGTCAGGAATTCGACTGCTCGCTATGACGTGTGCTGATCATCAGGGGGCGGCACAGAACATGGCAGGCATTGGGGACACGGTGCCGGCAGCGGGTGGCAGTGGAGGCACTGCAGCCCTGATGGGCCCCAACGAGAGCAGGACGGAGGCAGGGTGGTGGAGCAGATGAGCAGGCCAAGGTGGGTGGGAGCAGGGACCCATCACCCCACCAATCTCCCTGCAGACTGCGACCAGAGGCATCAGCGGGGGCCCAGTCCCAATCAATCACCCCATAGGCAGGATGGTGGAGCAGGTAAAGGGGTGGCACCAGGCCACAGAGTGGTGCCAGGCAGAGCTGCAGGGCTGCGGATGCAAGGTGGGGCCCAATTCCTGCAGGCCACCCCAAGGGACCCCACCAATGCACAAATTTGGACACTGGGCCTCTAGTATTCTATAATTTCTCAAAGGACTTTTGAAACAACTAGCCCATTTTAAAAGAAAGGGCAAACAAAACCAACATGAATAATTAAGACTTTTAAGTAATAAAAACATTATTTTCATTGTTGTATGTTGATTAATAAAAATTTGTAATCCTAGTTTAGCCCCTATTTTGTGCTCTCCAATCCTAAACTTTTGAGCAATTAAAGTAATGATGACAGAGTTGGGCACAGAGTCATGCTTTCCAATCTCCACACCACCTCAAATTTCTTATCTTCTCTTGTCCTCTTTCCCTGCATCTGGAAAAGGAGATGCTATTTCCTAGGACGTATCCCTCCCACAGAGCAGCTCAAGCTGGCCCTTCTCCCATGACTGTGGTTTATGTGCTAACGATGTTCCTGAACTGCTGCCACCCCTTCCTGCCTGGTCTTCCCCACGAGAAGGTCCTTCCCCTCCCGTCAGACCACCCATTCAATGAACATTTACTGAGTAACTGGTATGTGCCAGGGCTTTCACCAGGCATTGGGAAATACAGCAGGAAACGTTAGAGAGAGAGGGAGGGAGGGGGGAAAGGGAGGGAGAGGGAGAGAAAGAGAGAGAGAGATCTTCCTGCAATAGAGCTTATGTCACATAACGGAGACAGAGGAGCGACCAGAGAAATACCAGCTGGTACCGAACGTTACAGAAAATAGAAAGGACAATGGAACACAGAGCCCTGGGCATATAGTGAGTGACTGCGAAAAAGAAGGCAGTGAAGGCTTCTCTGAGGAGGGTAGCATTTAACCTGAGATGATGAGAAGGAAACAGCCATGAGGTAAAGCATTTTAGGCAGAGGGACAGCAAGTACAACGTCCCGGAGCAGCAAAAGGCTTTGTCTCTGAGGAACAGAAAGAAAGTTAATGTGGCTGGAAGGTCAGGAAAGGTGAAAGCAAGGACAGGAGCAGAGGTAAGAGAGATCAGGAGCATCATGCGAGGCCACAGAGGCACTTGGGGTTTATTCTAATTATAAGAGCATTTTACTGACGACTTTGGAAGGATTTCCATTTTGAGAAGACACACTCTGCATGCACTCTGGCTGCTAGAGGAGAAAGGAAGATAGTTGGGTATGAGAGGATGCAGCACTCCAGCCAGGTGAGGAGCACCGGTCTAACCTAGAAACTGGATAGCTCGGGGGGTTCCGGTGGGGGTGGAGCTGGGACTGGACATCCTGAGCAAAACTGCCCGGCTAAGTTCCTCACAGCAACACCTGGTGGTCCTCTCATCCCCAAGCCTGCTGCAACCTCTTCGATTGTAGTAAGCATGCAGAGTAGTAAGAAGCACAGGACAGACCTACCCCTGACTCGGGACTGCTGCCTATGCAGCTCTGGGCAAGCGGAGCCCACTCCAAGTTTGTTGAGGACAAAGAAAAACACTGTCTACCTCCAAGGGTCACTGAAAGGACCAAGTAACAGAAATGTGGTTTGAGAAACATAACTGCATGCAAATGGTTATTATGACTGAACCAAGTCCTAACATTTCAGGGCAGAATGGTAAGCCCTCTAGCTTCCCAAAGGTCCTCTCTCCCACTGGACACCAGCTAGTTCTCAAACACTGAATCTCTGCTCCACTGAATCTCTGCTGAGAACTCTGGCTCGCTCAGCCCCCGCCTATCCAGACCCTACTGGTGCCTGAAGGCTGCAGACCAGGTACCAACTAATACCAAGAAGTCTACAGATCACTTTTAAAAAATGGTTGAAAATATAAACAGTACTGTTTGTTGACTGATTAAAGAACAAACATTGCCCTACCCAGTTTGGCTCAGTGGAGACTGCATCGGACTGAAGGTGTCTGGGTTGCATTCTGGTCATGGACACAGACCTCAGCTGCAGGGGCAATCCCCAGCCCTTGTCAGGGGCCTTGTGGGAAGCAACCAATCAATGTGTCTCTCTCTGTCTGTCTCTCCCCTCCCTACCACTTTTTCTAAAAATTGAAATATCCTCAAGGGAGGATTAACAAATAAATAAATAAATATTTCTTCCATTAAATTCATATGAAAAGTACCCTAGAGTGCCCTAACTGGTTTGGCTCAGTGGATAGAATGAAGGCCTGCAGACTGAAGGGTCCCTGGTTCGATTCTGGTCAGGGTACATGCCTGGGTTGTGGGCTCAATCACCAGTAGGGGGCATGCAGGAGGCAACTGATCAATGTTTCTCTCATCATTGATGTTTCTATCTCTCTCCCCCTCTCCTTCTTCTCTGAAATCAATAAAAATATTTTTTAAAAATTAGATATTTTTGCCGAAACCGGATTGGCTCAGTGGTAAAGCGTCAGTCTGCGGACTGAAAGGTCCCAGGTTTGATTCCGGTCAAGGGTATGTACCTTGGTTGTGGGCACATCCCCGGTGGCAACTGGTTGATGTTTCTCTCATCAACGTTTCTAGCTCTCTATCTCTCTCCTTTCCTCTCTGTAAAAAATCAAAAAAATATATTTTTAAAAAATAGATATTTTTAAAGTACCCTCTAGTGATATAGGCTACATAGTATCTGAAGCTCACATACCAATAACCACTATCTGCTATGATTATGGAAAATGGCTTTGGCGCCCAAAGTGATCTAGATTAAAATCAGACCCTCATCCCATCTATTACCTGCATAATTTTGGTCGAGACATGTATCCCCGGTAAGTCTCACTTTGTCCATATGTTCAAAGGATATGCCACCATCCTACAGGTTTGCCATGTGACTCAAAGAATTTACATGAGCATGTATTGTAAGCCATGTCACTTGTTACTATTAACTGTAAAATTTAATTTTGAAGGAATGCCTGACACCATCACCTCCTTATTTTCTAAGAAAATACATCCCATTTTTAAAAAGTTACCAGTTTTTGTCCTTCATGAGACAATAAAATGAGATTTAGCACATTTCCAATATCTAATAGCTGTTACAGACATTTTCTAGATAAAGTTACTACAATTTCACTTAGTTTCTCTCAGTGTTCAAAGTGTACTTTAAAACACCTAACAAGTAACAGAAGTTTACTTCAATGAAAACATGTCACATATAAAGTACACAAGGCACTTTGAGGAGACTAATTCTATTGCACTGCTCCCATACCGGAAGCACAATGTTCAATTAAAAACCCAGACAAGACAAAACCATCCTGACCTCCCATCCTACCTGTATGGACATGATTAACGTCTGTACCACCACTAAAAGTTAGGAGCCCCGAGCATACAGACTGTGCTTGCGTGTCCAGCACCAGCATCTAGCTCGGTGCCTTGTGTATAGTAGATGCTTAAATAGTTACTGAACAAATATTTATCTGGACCAGGTGACAAGACCATATGCTCATCACACTAACCTAAGATCCAGCCTCCCTTCTGCAATCTAGTAACAATGTCAATGGAACCACCAATAGACAGGTAATGCCCACATTTTCAGCACAAATGTTATTTGTAATGATCGAGATAAAATGCAGCCAGGATTGTACAGGACCTTAATGTAGGGGTGGTTCTTGCATGTCGTTCCCCACTGACGGGCACAACGCTCCTCCTTCCGGTGCTCAAAGAACTCTGGGTTGCGAAGAATAGCCACACGGCGGCCCTCATACATCAGAGCAAAGGCCGTACAGCCATCCAGCCTCTCTTTATCTTCATGAGTAGCTGACAGAACTATAGGCACTGACAAGTTAATGACACCCCCTGCAGGGCACAAAGGAACACACAGCTTGGATTACTCAACACTCCTCAGGTAGCCACATCTCACACAGTGGACACTAATAATGTTTAACTGGTGCCTGGCACAGAAAATCAGGAGACGGAATAAGCAGTAGAGGCTAAAAAAACAGCAAAAATTAAGGAAATCAACAGTGTGTGTAGCAATACTCACAACAATTCATGAAACTGTCTTTTGGGGTGAAAGTATGGGATAGAATCACAGAAGTAAAAGAAGCTGTTTAACAAGTAAAACTCAGCTGGTTAAGTTTAACATCACCAGCAATATTCTAAATACCTCCAATATATGAATAAAATAAAGCAATATGGTTCAGGGCCTTTTAAAAAAAAATTTTAATTCGTGCTGATAACTGCCTTTTGAGTGGCAAGTTGGTTAAGAATACTTAAGCCCTAACCGGTTTGGCTCAGTGGATAGAGCATCGGCCTGCAGACTGAAGGGTCCCGGGTTAGATTCTGGTCAAGGGCATGTTCCTTAGTTGCAGGCACATTCCCAGTAAAGGGCATGCAGGAGAGGCAGTTGATTGATGGTTCTCTCTCATCGATGTTTCTAACTCCCTATCTTCTCCCTTGCTCTCTGAAAAAAATCAATAAAATATATTTTTGAATATACATAGATATCCTTGAGACAGAAAGACAAAAACACCTAAACGGGTTTTGTTACTTTGTTTTTCATCAGAATTGAACCCATGTCAGCTATCACTGGCCAGGACACAAAGGCAGTAGGTAATCAGTGCTCCTTTTAACTCAAAATGTGTGCCACTGAGACCAAAGGCACATTCTCAGTTCCCAACCTTTCAAGCTCCAAATGTTTTTTTTCCTACTCATCATGCACAGATTAGAAAAATAAAACGCACTCTCAAATTGCTATGTGGATCTTATTTACACACCAAATAGAAACCATACTTTTCTGGGAAATCATGGCATAACTTCTTTGATAACTGTTTAGATGTTTTAAAATTACCACCACTACATACAGTGCAAAATGTTATATCAAACCAAAAACTAAATCAATACTCAAGACACAGTCCACAAAGACTTTACTATTAGTTTCAAGGAAGAAAACTGAAGAACAATATTTAATCCTTATGTTCTTGTGATAAAACTTACCTGGAAGAACAATTAGAAATTACATTCTCTACTATCTATTTCACTCCCCAGTGAAAAGAAGTCATAATACAGAAGGGCATGGTAGCAATTGAGGAGGGTTCTGTGACATGGAACAACAGTATATACAACGTTTAAGGTAGCTGAATTATTATTACAATATACAATGTAATTATTATTACAATTATTATTACAAAATGTAATTTTGAGTGTTTTAAAAGAATAGGAAGAACCATCCTTTCAACCACTTATTTCAGGACTCCTAAACTTGAACTCCCTGGCTCCCTACTAGAAGGCCTGGCTTAAGCAAGCACAGGCTTCCATATAGCACGAAAATGACCAGGTGGCTATGGCACAGGGAAACTATTTGCTTTTGAAATTCTTTTCATCCCTAATCCTCAGGTGTTCCTTCTCCCCATGCAATAAATCACAATCGGGGAAACAAAAATGGAAAACAGATCTCACTATCCACTTAAAATGTCTAGTACTGATATAACTTAGTCTTAAGACACTACCTTCGTTAAAACGGTACCATTACTTCCTATAAAGAGTGATGAATCCCTATAACTGTGCAATATCTCTTCCACACTCTATGTACATGCAAAATGTCTTACCATCCAGAAGACAATCAAAATGAAGACACTGCAAGTACTCCCTCTCTCGCATAAAGCCATTCAGTGGGGTGGCCCAACCTTCTGCCAGAACCTGCACCCACTGCATGTCCACCTAGTAAAGGAGAAAGGAAATTTTCTATGTCATGTACTTGTGAACAAAAGCAGTAATAGCCTTTGGGAATTTAATTTTGAAAGTGATGGAAACAGCCGAAATCGGTCTGGCTCAGTGGTAGAGCGTTGGTCTGCGGACTGAAAGATCCCAGGTTTGATTCCGGTCAGGGGCATGTGCGTTGGTTGCGGGCACATCCCCAGTAAGGGGTGTGCAAGAGGCAGCTGGTCAATGTTTCTCTCTCATTGACGTTTCTAGCTCTCTCTCTCCCTTCCTCTCTGTAAAAAATCAATAAAATATAAATTAAAAAAGAAAGTGATGGAAACAAACATCTCAAGAATGATTACAGATTATACAAATCTAATAATTAGGGCACTAGAAAAATACGCATTTTTCCGAGTAAGTTTAAATAACATCAGACTTGCAAACATTTCCAATAAGAAAAGTATCTCCTAAAGTGATTCTCAAATGTTAATATATATAAGAAACTACTGGAAGGGTTGTTAAAATGAAGATGGCTCCACCTCCAAGTTTCCAATTCAGTTAATTTGCTATAGGGCCCAAGAATTTGTATTTTTAACAGTTTCCAGAAAATGTTGACAATGATGTCTAAAAACTACACTTTAACAACACTGTCCTAAACTAAAATTTCAGCTAAAAATAGCCCTTCCCCAATAATAGAGCACACTTCACTTTACAACGATTTCTAGTATATCCCATAAGAACATTAAAGAAATGATCATCTTTGTATCATTAAAGTAAGCTAGGTATGCTCATTTTTAACTGGTGCTGTAACATGTAGCCGTGGTTCTCAAATGAGAAAAGATGCAGCACCTGGCCAAGTAAAATGTTACTTACTGTTTATTTTCGAAGTAGGTTGGCCAATGTGTCCCACTGAAAAATCAAATTCCTCTTCTTCAATTCCAAAGAAAAAAATTATATGCATGCACCAAATTAATTTCAAGTTTTCCCTACACCTGTGACCAAGGCCATTCTTTGTTTATAGTAGAATCCAATTCTAAAAGGTACCTATTAGGCACTAAATGTGCCCCCTGAAAATCATGTCAATACCTAACCCCTCGAAGTGAGTAGACATGGAGATAGGGCCTCTGAAGTAGTGACAATGGTCAAATAAGGTTATAAGGGTGGGTCTTAATCCAATAGGTTAGCCCTAATAAGAAGAGGAAACCAGCGCTCCCTCTCTCTACCCTGTGAGGACATGGCGAGAAGGCAGTTGTCCTTGAGCCATAAGAGAGCCTTACCAGGAGTAAGTCAGCCAGTGCCTAGATCTTGGACTTTCCTGCTGTTTAAGCCATTCAGTCTATCGTATTTGTTAGGGCAGACCAAGCTAATATACTATCTGACTTAGCATGGAGTTTTTAATTAATTATTTCTCATACTGATGTGCAGAGAACAAACCACTGTATTGAAGAAAAATTTACATTCAGAAAAGGCTTCTATCCTTCTGGGTTGTCAAGTCTGACTGACCTGGATTCATGTCCATTCACTGTCATTCTTCGTGTGTGTGTGTGTGTGTGTGTGTGTGTGTGTATGTGTGTTCACACACACATGCATGTGTTCATGTGTTCATTCTGTGCAAAGTCATCAGTTCCTTTATAGTGAGTTTTATCAGCTTTCCAAGTGGCTCTGCTCTCCGACTTCAAATGTTTGTACTCCCAGCATTCCTTACAAGGAACACTGGATCATCTACTCCTATCAGTGATTTGAAAAACTATATACTTGGAAAATCTTTCTCCAAGCTCAGAAGTTTGGTTTTTTCCTCTTTTTCCTTACTTTCAGACTTGGCACTTTGCTGGGTGTGTCAAATTTTTATCATACTACACAAAGACTGGGAAATTCTACTTCTAGTCCAGGTTCTTATTCCTTAATCTCTGTTTTTATAGTATACCTAAAGGTAAGGCTTAAATTCTCTAAAATTTGAAACTGATTTAACTAAAATAAAAGCCTAAGAGACCATCGCAACCAAATGGATAATAGAACAGGCTGCATGGGGCGACTAGGATGTCAGGGGATTGGTAAGGGACAACCAAATGACTGAGCAGCAGGCTGCATGGAGTGAACAGGCTGGCAGGGAAGGAAGTTGGGGGCAACCAGGCCAGAGGCAGAGGGGAGCAGTTAGGGGTAATCAGGCAGGCAGGCAGGTGAGCAGTTAGGAGCCAGGATTATGAAAGGGATATCCAACTATGAGAGGGATATTATGAGAGGCAGTTGGACATCCCCCGAGGGGTCCCAGATTGGAGAAGGTGCAGGCTGGGTTGAGGGGACCCGCCCCCCCCCCCATGCACAAATTTTGTGCACTGGGCCACTAGTATATATATAAAAGCCTAAGCAACCCTTATGACCGAATGACCAAAATGACCAATGGCTGTATCATGTACTGACCACCAGGGGGAAGACGCTCAGTGCAAGAGCTGCCTCCTGGTGGTCAGTGCACTCCCATAGCCAACCTCCCATGGTCCCTCTCCCAAGCTAGCCAATCTCCCGAAGCCCCTCCCCCAGGCCATCTGGCCCCCAATAGGCCTCAATCGCCAGCTAGGTTGGGGGACCCCACCCATGAACAAATTCATGCACTAGGCCTCTAGTAAATTATAATTTCCACTGACACCATATCTAGTTTAACTAGATAATTTCCACTGTCACCATATCTAGTTTAATAAGCAGGGTTTTTTTTATTGGGGAAAATACCCAATGATATCATTAGAGTTAAGAAATATTCTTAATAATATAAGAAAGGGAGAATGAGAGTTTTGGCAGGGGATTGGGAAACATGTTTAAAGAAAAAAATGTTCATTTTTAAATTAATTATTAACTTTAAATTAGTTATTGCAAATTATCATAAATTAGTTCTTGCAGATTAGTATTTCTCAACCTTTTAAAACCCAGTTCTGATAAACCTAAAAATCTTATATAATCTTTGTTCTTTGATATTTTAAAAATATATATATATATATATTATGACTAAAATAAAACCAAGGCCATGATCATTTAGGGATATGGCTTTACAAATTAAAATTAAGCACATTTCCCACCCTGGAAATTGTGATACACACCACACCTAACCATGACCTCAAACACAACCATAAAACCACAAATTTTACAGACTACCAACTGTACATAAGGCCATAGTACTTGGTATAAAAAGTAACGAAGTACTTACTTTACTAATTGTCAATGCTGGTAGTGTTTCTGCATCTGTTTTTGCCAAATGAAGTTTATTTTCTGGTACATACAGTTCTTTTACTTCATAAGAGGCATCTACAGGTACAATATCCTATACAAAAACACAAATACAATAAACTGTTGAATTTTAGCCTTCTTCGGGGTTATTTTAATGAAGAAAAACTTAAATTTAAAAATAAGACTTTTAAAAAGAGGCATAAAAGAGGGATTTGAATGCTGTCCCTCCCCAATCAATCTTCCAAATATCAGTTGGTCTACCGTCAAGCAGATAAAATCCCCCATACAAGAAGTCACTATGCATAATGTCCCATTATCTAGTGAGAAAGAAATTCCTAGAACACACCATATACCTTCAAAATCAGGCAACTGCATAGAAGACATGACTTTAAAGAGGTAATGATAAAAAGAATTTGGAACCCAAAAACCAAAAAAAAAAATCCACTTAAACATAACTATTATTATTTTTAACATGTCATAAGAACATGCCACTTAAGCCACCTTTTCAGGAATATGACACAGTGCTCCACAACTTTAGGATTGAGAAACAGCACTTTTGATCCCATATGAAATATAGTCTGGAAACTTTATATAAACTCCAGATACTCATTTATATAACTCTAGAGGCCCAGTACACAAAATTCATGCACTGGTAGGATCCCTAGAAGTTGCTGGCTGCCAGCTGGGTACTCCCTCTCTTCCCCCAACCAGCCCTGCCTCCTTGTTGAACTCCTGGACAATTCCTGGTCGAGGGGACAATTTGCATACTATGCTTTTATTATATACCATAGGATTGGGTGGTCTTTAGCCTCATTTATCCTGCAAGGACACATGCGTAATTACCACAACACAGACACTCATTTGCTGCACACAGGTGATCATTACAAGGTTTGGTCACGTTTGTCACACTCCTGGGAATAATTACTAAATGTATATAATTACTTTAAATTTTTAAGCCAAATCTATCAAGTAACAATGGTAAGCATATAAAACTCGATTAAAGCTTCTCATACATTTATCTCGTCTGAGCAATACTTTGTTATTGAAAATAAAGTAGGTAATTGTCAAGAGAATGATAAGCCATTGGCAAGGAAAAAGTATTTGCAATATGTTATCCAAAATATGCAAGATCTCTTAAAACTCAACAAGAAAACCCATTCAAAAACCGGGCCAAATATCAGAACAGACACCTCACCAAACAAGATATACACATAACAAATAAGCATTTGAAACAATATTCTACATCATATGTCATTAGGCAAATTAAATTTAAAACAACGAGATACCACTACAGACATATTAGAATGGCCAAAATCCAAAACACTGACAATACTAAAAACTAGTGAGAATACAGACCAACAAAAACTGATAGACGGGGTGGAAGACAATTTGGTGGTTCCTTACAAAACTAAATTACTCTTATCACACAATCCAGCAATTGTGCTCCCTGATATTTCCCAAAATAAGTTGAAAACTTATGTCCACACAAAAACCTGCACACACATGTTGATAGCAGCCTTCAGCAAATGAATGAACTGTGATGCATCCAAACAATGGAACATTCCTCAGCATTAATGAGCAAGGAGCTAGGCAGCCTTGGGGGGAGGGGGAGGCCAATGCTGGAAACATAAATGCATATCCTATATCAGTGTTTTTCAACCTTTTTTGGGCAAAGGCACACTTGTTTCATGAAAAAAATCACGAGGCACACCACCATTAGAAAATGTTAAAAAATTTAACTCTGTGCCTATATTGACTATATATGAAGTAATTCTCTTGAATAGGAATCAAATAAACACAAAGAAAGTATTTTATAATTACTTTATTATGAAATATTAAGTAAACAAAATAGTGAAAAATTATAAAATTCTTGTCTTGTCTGCACCTACGGCACACCAGGTAACATTTATTATATAGGACAGCAGTTGAAAAACGCTGTCCTATATAATAAAGAGGTAACATGCAAACGGTCATTACACCATGACGCATAACAACCAATCACCAGGTGGGCAGGGCAGGGAGCTCCAAGCCGGGAGAGCTACAGGAGGGGGAGGTAGCCAGTTACAAGCTTACAAACCGGGGAGAGCTACAGCGGTGGTGAGCGGGGCGGCCAGCTGAGGCGAGCAGTAGCGAGCTACTAGTGTACACAGGGCCACTAGTTATTAAGTGAAAGAAGGCAATCTAAAAAGGCTACATACTGTATACTGCTGTCACATCCTGGAAAAGGCAAAACTCTGAAGGTAGTAAAAAAGGTCAGTGGTTGCCGGGGTTGGGGACAGGAGGAGGGTGGAGGGCAAGATGAATAGGCAAAGCACTGAGGATTTTCTAGGGCAGTGAAACGATTCTGTATGATATTGCAGTGGTGGATACTTGTCATCATACATTTGTCAAAACCTCGGGAGGTACAACCCTATTGTAACTTGTAGGTTATGGGTGACAATGATGTGTCAATGCGGTTCATCAACTGTAACAAATGTACCATTCTGGTGAGGGGTGTTAGTGAGGGATGTTGACAGCAGGAGGCATGCAGGAGGCATATGAGAACTCATTTTCTGTGCTTTCTACTCAATTTTGCTGTGAACCTAAAACTGCCCTATAAAGTCCATTTAAAAAAAAAAAAAACATTAACAAAAAGTTATTCAAAATAAATATTAATGGGAAACCAACTTTTTTAAGGACAATCCCTATTATTTTTCCTAAGAAATACGTGCGAGAAGAGACTTCAACTTATATTTGGACTTACATTAATACTATGTGTAGAGAAAAAAGCAGGGTCAGATATGCGTATCAAAGCTAGATAACCTCATGAAAGGTATGGATGCCACTACTCAAGCAATCCCTGTGGGTTCTGAGAATCTAGAAACAATTATTCTTTGAGACAGTTCAACTCCGGCTAAATCATGTGCCAAAGTCAGGCTATTCCTATGGGTAAAATTCTGGTGTTTCTCATCATAAACCCAAGATTAAATAAGAAGAATAAACATGAAGGGGGGGGTTGTGTAGAAAGAATAAAATTAAGAGAAGAAATAAGGAAACACTCTTTGCTGCCTTACCATAGATTGCTCCTGGAATGTAGATGGGAAGGGCACTTTCTGAAGGCCCATTAGTCACATGCATGACCACCCCACTGCTAACAGGAGGAAAGTGGGAAAGTGGAAACGTGTGTGTGTGTGTGTGTGTGTGTGTGTGTGTGTGTGTGTGTGAAAACTGGGGAGGGGGGAGGAGGAGAGGGAAAGAGGGAGAGAGGGAAAAAGAGAGAGAGGGAGGCGGGGAGGGGCGGTGGGGGGGAGGGAGGGAGGGAGAAAGAGAGAGAGAGACCCTGCACAGCACAGGACACTTTATTAACCTTCTAGAGGAGGAGTGGGAACCTTTTTTTCCTGCCAAGGGACATTTAGATATTTAGATCACTCATGGGCCATACAAAATTATCAACTTAAAAATTAGCCTGCTATATTTGGTCAAATATTCATTTAACTCACCCCTAATGCTTTAGCAGGGCCAGACAGAATGATTTCCTGGGCCTTATAGGCCCAAGAGTGGGACATTCCTTTCCCCTGTTCTAGAGCCTCTTTTGCAATTAAGCTACCAGCAGGTGCCCACAGCTGCAGGTGTTTGTTATCTCTGCTGATGGTAAGACTATGTCAGCACATTCAAAGAACACTGGAGAAGGAAGAAAGCTCCCATCTGCTGCCTTTATCTTCTCTTTGTAGATGGAAATACCAAGCAACTTTGGGTGAATGAGACTTATCATTTCCTATGGACCAAGGTAAGAAGGACATGTCTTAAGTTCTGCTGAGGGGTTCACTTCATTGTGCACCCGAAGAGAAAATTACATATAGAAAATACTCTTCCTTCTATCTGACAAGAGAAACAGATTAACTTAATCTAGTCCCATGGTCAGAAAACTGCGGCTCGCTAGCCACATTCGGCTCTTTGGCCCCTTGAATGTGGCTCTTCCACAAAATACCACGGCCTGGGCGAGTCTATTTTGAAAAAGTGGCGTTAGAAGAAGTTTAAGTTTTAAAAATTTGGCTCCCAAAAGAAATGTCAACCGTTGTACTGTTCTGGGCTTCTAACTCCAGGAATCATTTTAATACATTTATTAAATATAATACATTTAATACATTAATACATGCACTTTAATACATTTTTAAGTAAAAAATAGCAGTAAAAAAATTGGAAATGAGAAAAGCACATTACCTTATATATGGTTATCATTATCATTTCTACATATTCCCTTCCAACTGTTTTTGCCCATAGGCACATTATAGGACAATTAATAGTTTTAGCAGTTTGTACAAAGCCTATTACTTCATCAACCACAAAATAAAAATTCAGAATCAACTTTTCCTATAAGAATAATGTAATGTGCATTAAGTGCACTGCACACACACCCTATATGTTCAATTAGCTTTTTGGATCTGTAAAGCTCTCAGAGATGTCAGGAGACATACACATTTTCCCAGCTGCAAAACAAAGAACTAATATCCTCCAGACTAGAAACAAATGCTAAAATTTACTTAAGTTACAAATAAAAGTCTGACATTCATTAGGACTTTTATGAGGAAGAGGATGGCAAAATGGAATTAAACTTAAATATTTACATTAATCACAATATATTAGGGACACATCATCTTCAAAACTAAAAAGAGATTCAAGAAAGCCAGAGGGGTCTGCAGATGTTTATTCCTGATGTTTGTATCTAAGATCTGAGTTCAGATTCTAACAGTGCAACCTTCAACAGGTTACCTAACATCTCGAACCTGCCTCCTTCTCAGAGGTTTAAAAATAGTTAATGATTTCTTTCTTTCAGGGCCATTGTGACAATTAAATGACTACAGTATCTGAACTGCAGAGTTAATGTTTACTGAATGCATTCTGTAATAGCAGTGCTGTCCTAGGAGCTTCAAATGAATTAATGCATTTAATCTCCATACACTTCTACCTATGACAGCAGAAGAAACTATCGCTATTCTACATTTTTACAGACGGGGACACTGAGGCTCAGGAGAAAGGTTAGTAACTTGTCCCAGATTCCTGCTATATTGTCTTCCACCGCAGGTAACACACAATAAATATTCAATAAATATTGTA